CACGTATAGTCCCCACGCCTAGGCAAGCCTTAGGTGGTCAATGTCCTTATAAAACTAGAAACTACATTTCAATTGTATATAAACTGCTTAAGTCTCACAGGTTTAAAACCAATAGGCAAACCGACTTGGACCCTGCCATTGAGTTCTGAAATATCATTGCAAGATCTGTGTACTGATGTTCACCTAGATATCATATCCTAGATTCTTTCTAGAAATTACCTAAATCTGTGTTTTAGACGTGCTGTTTATTTGCCTATATGCATGCAGAGGTAAACATGAGCCTTTTAACAGCTTTTTCCCTATTTGCTTGTCCTACATGTTATTTGTTTGTCGCCTAAATTTTTGCCTTTTAAATACCTTAGGCTTGTCTAGAACTGTCCAGAGTTAAATGTCCTAAGCTCCTCTAGGACCATAAGTAAGGGACGGGTAACAGCACGCTCAGGGGTCGTTAATCAAATTCGCTTATATAACCGTTAAGTGGAGGGTAACGGGTAGTAAAAGGATATGATGACTTGCTCGCTAATGTCACGTGTAGCCCCTCTAGTTGAGGAGGATTACCGGGCATTGCACAGATTGATCCTGTAGGCTAATCAACTTAGGACTCCCCTTTCCCAATTTCTATATGTGTTTAAATTATCTAAACTCCCCTTTCTTTACATATACATGTGTAAGCTGTCCAAACCTCTTTTACCTTCATTATCTGAACTTCGTTGATCATATATGCATTTAGATGGGGGAAAACTACTTTATTTGTAAATACGTGCTTACTTGTTAATTTACTAATTCACACAGTTTAAGTTCGGCTGGGACCCACCGTTGTGGACCGCGAGGGGTGCCTAACACCTTCCCCTCAAGGTTATTTCGAGCCCTTACCCTAATCTCTGATAATGCAAACTAGTTATACGAGTTAATCGCTCTAGGTGCCCTAATGCACCTTAATCCGTTAGGTGGCGACTCTTCAAATACCCAATTCCCAAAAGGAAACGAGTTGTTCCCCCCATGAATATCGAAACCCGGACTCCGCGAAGGAAAAAGGGGGCGCGACAGCATGGCGACTCTGCTGGGGATATTTTTAGGCTCTTACCATAACGAACATATTTTTGTGAATTAGTCCAAGCATGCTTTATCCGGTGTACCCTTTCCCCTTTATTTGGATTTAACTGCTTATTTATGATTTCTTCATTTTCCTGAAACTGACTTGTCTCTTTGTTTTCTTTTTCCGTAACTGTCTTTCAATTATTTAAATACTGCATTTATCATTTTTATTTACGTGCAAATACTTGACAACATGTTATTTATTGTTGCATAAATCATGCTCAACCACTCGTGCGTAATCAATCCTATAGCAACGCTTGATGAGTGTTTGTGCTCTTCCTATATATCACTCTTTAAATTCGGAAAGGCGTATTTGCGGTAAAACTAGTCAATCAGCGGTGCGTTCGACGGTTCCGTGCCTTTCCCCCTCAAGTTGTCCGCTTGAGGGTCCCAGTCTAGACCTCTATAGCAGCCTTACTCTGATTAATTGTACATTCATCATGGTCAAACCTTTCCGGGTTAATATGTTGTCCGCATAATAACCCTTTAAGACAAGCCTCGTCCAAAAGTCCATCGAGGTTTTCACATATCCCAACGGACGTAATCATGATTGTGTGCATTAATTTGGAGAACTAAATGCCCATATGCTAATCATGAATGTATAAATAGTCGAATTAGGTGGGGGAAAAGGGCCTAACCTTTTTGTTTTGCAGAAAATGAGATGCTGAAGGAAGCGAGGGAAGACATCTGGCTAGAGCCTATCTGCTGCTGGATCTGCGAGAGTTGGGGAACCTGGTTGATGGAGTTAGAAAGATCCAGGCTGGGGAATGTCCTTCTAGGACTAAGTAGGCTAGATTTATTTGCTTTCCTAAATGTAATAAGGCCAAGTGCCAATGTGACTTACCTTTATTATCTTAGTGTCGTTTTGGGATTCGTCTATTTTTATATTAATGAAATGAGGCATTTATTGGCATCTAAGTTCTCCAAATCAACTTGTCGCTAGGCCTACCTCGGTCACAATGAGGCTCCCAAATTAGGACACGAATTTCATCTTTTCGCAATATGTGTTTAAATACTGCAAGTACTCTTTTCAGAATTATTACTGACTTGGTTACCTTTTGTTTTTCTTTCTTTCTTTTGATTATTCCCATTCCCCAATGGTTGGTTCACACATACTGGCATCATCAGCATACCTAAAGGTCCTCCACATCCTCCTCTTCCAAGTGATCCTAAAAGCAAAGGAAAAATCAGAATAAATGATACAATGCAATGTTTTAGTTAAGGAGGAGGAGGAAGAAGGCCTCACTATTCATACTGTGGAGAAGCGAGCTGCTCTCAGGAACTGGACTGCCACACCATCCCGGGCCCGCCGAGTCCCTGGGTAGTTGGCAGATTTTATTTCTATAGCCATTCTAGGCATCTAAGATTTTCAGTAATTTTGTTTTAAAGACTTACTTGTTTCAAAATAAATGCTCAATTCATCGAGCCGTACTTGTTTGGATGTCTTTCAGTTTTAATCAAATTCATTGCTCTTTATTATTCATTATTATCTTGCACACTTTTTCTTTCTGCATCGTTATTATTACTTTTTTCGATGAACCGGTGATTGTGACATGTAATGAGGCAATGCAATATGAGGATAGTGATTCGGATGAAGAAGATGAAATACCTGAGGAAGTTGTCAGGGAGGTTGAAAACTTTGAGAATAAGCCTAAGTCCAACCTGGACGAAACTGAGGCAGTAAACTTGGGGGATGCCGAGACCGTCAAGGAGACTCGCATCAGCATTCACTTATCACCAACAGAGAGAGAAGGGTACATTCATTTCTTCAAGGAATATGAGGACATCTTCGCATGGTCGTATGATTATATGACCGGTTTGAGCACATCCATAGTGGCTCACAAGTTGCCTACTAATCCCACGTGTCCGCCGGTGAAACAGAAACTCAGAAAATTCAAACCAGATATGAGCCTGAAAATCAGGGAGGAATCTTACAAATTCCCCTTGATTCATCAACCTCTTCTTCCTTGTCTTGACACTCCTCTTACTTTTCTGCAATGTAGACTCAAACCTCTCTTGATCTGCAACCTGATAGGGGATGACTTGGAAGAGTATTCTAAGGACTTAGGATAATCAAGAGGTTCAAGAGTGGATTTATCTGGAAGAGAATCAGTTCCTCCAACAGGTTTTTCTGGGACAGTTTCATGAATTAGAGACTTGAAGAGTACCATGGTTCTTTTATCGCCTAGGAATGGAGTTTCTTCCCCCTGATACTCAGACAAGAGATAGTTTCTTTCATTCAACAGACTTTCAGCAGTGATAGCCATGATATTGTGCGCTGATTCCTTTTCTGGTGACTCTATGAGAGCCACTGTGTCCAAAAGGGAGGAGTTCAGATACTGATCAGGATCATCCTCAGAGACCTCTAACACCTGAGAGGTGACCCTTTCTGAGTGTTCTTTGGTGGGATCAGAGGAATGAGGAGACATGGAGTTTTCAACACATAGAAAGGAGACAGAGTTTGACAGAAAAGGGAAAGCAATAGGAAATGAGGAGGAAACAGGTGTAGGTGCAGTAGTGTTGAAAGAGTGGAAGAGTGAATTTCTGGAGATGACTTTAAGGATGATAGGGAAGTGGGAGTGGTGTTGATGGTGGGAGAAGGAAGCGATCGTTCGATTGCCATTATAGGAGGATTTGATAGGGAAGTTGAGTGAAAAAGAGATGAGGAGAGGATCACAGAGATACAAAAAAGATGAAGGTTCATGACTTGCTGTGAGAGTGAAAAAGAGTTTTATGGGAAGAAGGGCTAATGATGAGAAGAGAGAGAAACGGGTTCTGAACAGTCCTGAAAACGGCGGTAGGTTTGTGGCAAAATGTTATCGTGCAGAGGGGATGAAGGGATTTGAAAGACAAGACATGACATGCAGATTTTGAAAAGTCGGATGATGTGGCAGTTGAATTAATTTTGTTAACCCTTTTTGAGAAAGCATGCAAAACAACACATTACTACTGACCTGTGGTACAGGAACCTGATGCCCGAATAGTTTTTTGAAAAAGATTTTAGCAGCTCTTCTTTCGCAGTTCATAATTGTACCTTTGGCTTCTATTATCATCATGCGTGTTTACCTGCAACGGTATCGATGTGAGTTAGGCTTGGCCAGAAAACACTTTAGCTAATTTTACCTGAAGGTGATTTCATAGCCAACTGATGGAGAAACAGGTTCTCTATTAGAATTTAATAACCCCAGCTTCACCCTGTTTCTTCCAAAATGTTCCCTACTCAAGGCTATGGTGAAGATATCTGGAATTTGGTCTTCTGTGCTGCAGAACTTTATACAGATCAACCCTTTCTCCATATTGACCCTCAGAAGATAATGCCTCACCTCAATATGCTTGGTTCTCTTGTTTTGAAGTGGATTCTTGATCAAGTTGAGTGCACCGGTGTTGTCACATAGAAGAAGCATACCATCAGTAAATACCCCAAAATCCTCCAGTTGGTGCTTAATTCATAGGGGTTGAGCACAGCAGGATGCTGCCGCTACGTATTCTGCTTCGGTTGTTGAAGAAGCCACCGAGTTTTGCTTTCTTGTGCCCTAAGAGATGAGACACGATCATGGCAAGTGAGCCATTCTAGAAGCGCTTTTCTTGTCCACAAGATAACCTACATATTTAGCATCAGCATACCCAATAAGATTAAAACTATCACCTGAGGGGTAATACAGGACCAGGTTTTGTGTTCCCTTAAGGTATCTCAAACTTCTTTTGGCAGCCTTCAAGTAAGATTCCTTGGGATTTGATTTTGGATTCTATTCTGGAATGGAAATACAGAAGGGACTAGGGAATTTTTGGATTTTGATTCTTGTCTAAATCCAGAATGAAGGGGAGTGATTATGTTATCAAATAGATGGGAGCTTCTGTGTTTCCAAGTGGGGACTGAAGTTTGATTAGTGGAGAGACTGGGTAAATTAAGTGGATTTCCCTGCACTCCTTGTTCTGCTACTTGGGAATACCTTGCACTGCATCTTCAATAGAGATTTCTCCAACAGAGATTTCTCAAGATTAATTTTTACTTTCTCCAATTCAGCTTGAAGTTGCCTATTTTTCTCAAGTTCCCTACATCGACTAGTTTTCACATCATTTAATTCCTTCTCAAGCTTGATGTGTGTCTCACTAGCTACTTCCTTCCCTTTCCCAAGACTCACAGTCCTATGTTCTGAATTGAGTCTCTCAATGGTTTCCTCTAGGTCAGTGATTATCACCAAAAAGTCATCCCTTTCTTGCTCAGTAGCAGCAATTTTCTCTTCTAGAGTGTTTTTCTCATTGCTAAGACCTTCTATGGTTTCCTTCAAATCAACAACCACTACCATCAGGCCATCTCTCTCTTTTTCTACACTATTTATTTTTTCATTCAAAGCTTCCTTTTCCTTTTCAAGATTAGCTATGGTCTCATTTAGGTCCACTACACAAACCACCAGATCATCTCTAGATTGTTCAGCTTCTCTTAGTTCTATGGTTAGAATCTCCTTATCATTATCAAGGCTATAATATGCATCAATTAGAACATTTGCTAGTGACCTTAACTTCTTAGAAGAGTAGGATTTCAGATTTCTCTAAACATCCCTAAAATTTACCTCATCATTTTCATCCTCTTCATCGTCGTCAGACTGAGCCATCAGCGCGAACAGTGAGTCATATTTCGTTGCTTCAGTTTCCAAAGCCATCATGGAGCTATTTTCTGCTTCTGGTTCCCTTTCTGATTCACTGGAGGAGAATCCCCAAGCAGCAAGGGCCTGCTTCACAATATTGTCAAATGCACTTTTTCGACTGATCATTTTTCTGGAACCGGGTTCCTTTTTGGTGCTTTGTCAGGGTTTTGTTTGTATTGCTCCTGTTTCAGAAGTGGACATTCTTTGATGAAATGCCCTGGCTTTCCGCACCTGTGACAAAGATCATTGTTCCTTGCCTTACTTGAACTGCCCCTCTTTGGTATACCACCATTCCTTCGAACCATCTTCTGAAACCTTTTAGTAAGATAGGCCATATCACTATCTTCTTCACTTGAGTCACTGTTTTCAGCCTTGAGTACCAGGTTCTTTTCCTTCTTTGGATCTCTCCTTTCACTGTCTTTCTTTCTTTTCATCTCGTATGTCTTCAGATTACCAATAAGCTCATCTATGGTTAGAGTTTGTAGATCTTTAGCTTCAGTGATGGCATTTACCTTACTCTCCCAAGAACCAGGTAGAATACTGAGAATTTTCCTTCCAAGCTTGTTTCTGGGAATAACATCTCCAAGTGAATGAAGCTCATTTATGATGGATGTGAATCTAGTGTGCATATCCTGTATAGACTCATCATCTTTCATCCTGAAGAGCTCATACTCTATGGTGAGCATGTCAATCTTGGACTGTTTAACCTGAGTTGTTCCTTCGTGTGTGGTTTTTAATGCTTCCCATATTTCTTTGGCAGAATCACAAGCTGAGACTCTGTTGTACTCATCGGGTCCTATACCATATACCAAGATTTTCTTGGCGCGATATTTCTTTTCTACAGCTTTTTGGTCAACATCACTGTACTCCTTTCTGTCTTTCGGCACCATTGGTCCAGTTTCTCCGAGCTTCTTCATAGGAACATGTGGACCATCACAGATGATGTCCCATAGTTCTGAATCTTCGGCCATTATAAAAGCATGCACGCGAGTCTTCTACCAGCCGTAGTACTAACCATTGAATCTAGGAGGTCTGTAGGTTGATTGTCCTTCCTCAAAGTTGGGTGGAGCAGCCATTGAGATCCTTTCTAGGTGTTAACCTTTTAGAAAGAATCCGCTCTGATACCAATTGTTAGCTTATATGAGTCCACAAAACTATAGAGCACCTGATCCTTTATGAGTTTCTACTGAGAATACTTATGAAGCAGTAAGTAAAAGAGATACGGGATTTTTACGTGGAAAAATCCCACTCGAGGGGACAAAAACCACGACCTACACTTGTAGGCTTTCAACTTCACTAACTTGTAATCTCGCTATTACAAGCCACTTTGTAATGACTCTATTACAAAGACTTCAACTTAACTAACTTGTGATACTCCTACCACAAGCCACTTTGTCACTCTCTAGTTACAAAGACTTTAACTTATAACTAACTCAAGTCACAACACAAACTTAGAGGGTTTGTGATTTTTGGGTTTCCTAAAACACAGCTTATAAGAAAGTAAGATAGGAGTTACAATGAAGAACAAATAACAAGATTACAACTCAACTACGGATACACATAGACTCATTGTGAAACTGATCCTTTAGTGGAGTTGTCTTCTTGTTCTTGACACACTTGTGACTTCAATGCTGGATCAACACTTTAATGCTTGAGAGAACATAACTAAATGCTCAAGTAAATATGTTGTGCCTTACACCAGGTTGTTATACTACAAAAGACATCACAATGGTGATGTCAATTCTTAGTACACGCTTCTTCCCAATGAGAAGTGACTGCTGCACTGTCGTGTGTACAGTTGCGGACAGTCACTCTCTGCAGTTGCATTCCAGCTGTATAGTTGACTTGTACTTCTGTCAGAGAACCCTAAGGGACCAGGTCCCTGTTGTGTTCCTCTTTGTAGTTGTTCATTTGCTGGAGAACAGACTGGACATTGTTCATTTGAAATGTGTACCAAGTGGGTCAGGTTCTCTATCTGGTTCTTAAAAATAAGTTTGTTAGATCATCAAAACATAAGAAGCATAAGGTAAAGACATTGAAAACCCATCAATTTACCCCTTTTTGATGACGACAAACTTAGGCATTGATAGTATTTGTTTAGAGCAGAAATAACCAGATGAGGTACCAGAAACTTCATAAGTTCCCCCTGACCTTTTGCTTTTGATTCCCCCTTAATCAGATCCCCTGTCCTTTTGCTTTTGAACCCCCTATTGATATTCATACACTCATCATGTGCATCACTACTCACTATATCNAAACAACAGCCATAAGACATCATAATAGAAGACACTGGTCACTAGGGGGTATCTAAGAGGCACTAGAAGAGGAAGACTAGGAAGGAGAAACAGCAAGGGTTTTGAGAACCAGGTCCAGTCGGGCATTTGCAGACAGTTGTTCTTCAAGCAATTTTGCGCGAAGCTTATCATTTCCTTTGTCAGACGGACAACTTCTTCATTAACGGAACCGGGTCCTTTAACCGCTTGATTGAGCTGAGTTTCTAGTATGGCATTCTGAGCCCTCAACCTTCTGATATCTTCAGAAGCTGCATTTTGAGCATTAATCAGCTGAGAAATGGTCGAGATGCTTCCACCAACCCTTTCTACGCACTCACATTCTTCCAGAGATGTTTTAGAGAAGGTTTGCTTGCGTGTGCCCACTCTGGGATTACCCAAGGGGACCTTGTAAAATTTAAACACTTGAATGAGGAGAAAGCCATATGGTAGCCCATGATTTCCACCTTTAAAGTTTGCCACCTTTTGCATATGATCTATCATGATTGCTGGCAGATTGATTGGGACAAACTCATCAAGAACCTCCATTAAGACCAGATCAAATTTTGTAGCAATAGACCGCCTCTCAAAATGAGGTAAGAGAACCTTATTGACCAGTTCAAAGAGAAGCTGATACTCAGGAAGTAATACCTTCTTATGCACATGTTCCTCCTGCTGAATAGCTTGCTCTTTCATGATAGCTCTCCTAAAGTTGACACCACAAACACCTTTGACTGAGGACATTCCTTCACATGGAATTTGGAGAACCTTCCCCAATGCTGAAGCGTCATGTACAATGTCTACTCCATTTACTAGCACACAGATGTGATCCCCCTCAACAGTGAAGAGAGATGCATAGAAATTTTGTACTGCATCTTCGTACACCAAAGGCATGTTCCCCTGAAACAAGTGCTCCCATTGCAAAATTCCACTATCTCCAGAATTTGCCTCATACCAGCCATCTCTGAAATTGCTGGATCAAGCGTACGACCCCACAAGACTTTTTGAGTTCTTAATCTCTCCTGCCAAAGACCACTGTCACTGGGCATGGTCTTTAGAGAACCAGGTTCCCTTACAGTTTCCCGTTTCATTTTCTAGATCCTTCAACAGACTTCCCTTTCCAACTTACCAGCCCCACAGTATCATCTTCAGACATAGCTTGCTCATAGACTTTTCTTAGACTTGCTGCTGCCCTTCACGGATGCTCCACTTTGTTTCTCAATAGCCACATCGGAAGCTTCATCCACAGACTTCTAGGCTTTTACTGATTGTTCTACTAAGGAACCGGGTTCCTTTAGAGCATTTTTATCAACCCCACCTACTAGAATGCTCTTGTCAGTAACAAATTCCCCTTGATTCATCAACCTCTTCTTCCTTGTCTTGACACTTCTCCTACTTTTCTGCAATGTAGACTCGAACCTCTCTTTCTGCTGCAACCTAATAGGGGATGACTTGGAAGAGGATTCTAAGGAATTAGGATAATCAAGAGGTTCAGGAGTGGATTTATCTGGAAGAGAATCAGTTCCTCCAGCAGGTTTTTCTAGGATAGTTTCATGAATTAGAGACTCGAAGAGTACCATGGTTCTTTTATCGCCTAGGAGTGGAGTTTCTTCCCCCTGATACTCAGACAAGAGATAGGTTCTTTCATTCAATAGACTTTCAGCAGTGATAGCAATGATATTGTGTGCTGATTCCTTTTCTGGTGACTCTATGAGAGCCACTGAGTCCAAAAGGGAGGAGTTCAGATACTGATCAGGATCATCCTCAAAGACCTCTGACACCTAAGAGGTGACCCTTTCTGAGTATTCTTTGGTGGGATCAGAGGAATGAGGAGACATGGGGTTTTCAACACATGGAAAGGAGACAGAGTTTGACAGAAAAGGGAAAGCAATAGGAAATGAGGAGGAAACAGGTGTGGGTGCAGTAGTATTGGAAAGAGTGGAAGAGTGAATTTCTGGAGATGACTTTAAGGATGATAGGGAAGTGGGAGTGGTGTTGATGGTGGGAGAAGGAAGCGATCATTTGATTGCCATTATAGGAGGATTTGATAGGGAAGTTGAGTGAAAAAGAGATGAGGAGAGGATCACAGAGATACAAAAGAGATGAAGGTTCATGACTTGCTGTGAGAGTGAAAAAGAGTTTTATGGGAAGAAGGGATAATGATGAGAAGAAAGAGAAACGAGTTTTGAACAGTCCTGAAAACGGCGGTAGGTTTGTGGGAAAATGTTATCGTGCAGAGGGGATGAAGGGATTTGAAAGACAAGACATGACGTTCAGATTTTGAAAAGTCGGATGATATGGCAGTTGAATTATTTGTTAACCCTTTTTGAGAAAGCATGCAAAACAACACATTACTACTGACCTGTGGTATAGGAACCTGATGCCTGAATAGTTTTTTGAAAAAGATTTTAGCAGCTCTTCTTTCGCAGTTCATAATTGTACCTTTGGCTTCTATGATCGTCATGTGTGTTTACCTGCAATGGTATCGATGTCAGTTAGGCTTGGCTAGAAAACACTTTAGCTAATTTTACCTGAAGGTGATTTTCATAGCCAACTGATGGAGAAACAGGTTCTCTATTAGACTTTAATAACCCCAGCTTCACCATGTTTCTTCCAAAATGTTCCCTACTCAAGGCTTTGGTGAAGATATCTGGAATTTGGTCTTCTGTGCTGCAGAACTTTATACAGATCAACCCTTTCTCCATATTGTCCCTCAGAAGATAATGCCTCACCTCAATGTGCTTGGTTCTCTTGTTTTGAACTGGATTCTTGATCAAGTTGAGTGCACCGGTGTTGTCATATAGAAGAAGCATACCATCAGTAATTACCCTGAAATCCTCCAGTTGGTGCTTAATTCATAGGGGTTGAGCACAGCAGGATGCTGCCGGTACGTATTCTGCTTCGGTTGTTGAAGAAGCCATTGAGTTTTGCTTCCTTGTGCCCCAAGAGATGAGACACGATCATGGCAAGTGAGCCATTCTAGAAGTGTTTTTCCTGTCCACAAGATAACCTACATAGTTAGCATCAGCATACCCAATAAGATTAAAACTGTCACCTGAGGGGTAATACAGGACCAGGTCCTGTGTTCCCTTAAGGTATCTCAAACTTCTTTTGGCAGCCTTCAAGTAAGATTCCTTGGGATTTGATTTTGGGTTCTATTCTGGAATGGAAATACAGAAGGGACTAGGGAATTTTTTGGATTTTGATTCTTGTCTAAATCTAGAATGAAGGGGAGTGATTATGTTATCAAATAGATGGGAGCTTTTGTGTTTCCAAGTGGGGACTGAAGTTTGATTAGTGGAGAGACTGGGTAAATTAAGTGGATTTCCCTGCACTCCTTGTTCTGCTACTTGTGGAATACCTTGCACTGCATCTCCAACAGTTTCTTCAACTTCAATGGTAGTAAATGAAGTACCAGGTTCCTCGTGAGAAGTGGAAGAGGATGTTGCATTGTCTTCCCCTGTCTCCTTCATCTAACTCATCATATCAACTTTCCCAATTGAAACATCAGATATTTCTTAGGGACCAAAAGTGGTTCATCGTCTTGATTATCACTGTTCCCTCCTTTGTTAGAGGAGGGTGTCTCTTTGAGTATCACATGACCACTTTCTTCCACATAGTGAGCTCTTTTGTTGTAGACTTTGTACGGTTTGCTTTGAGGGAAGTATCCCAGAAGGATTGCTTCATACATCAAACTTCCC